TAGAGAAATATTTAGCAAGAATTTAATTAAGTATATTGGAATGGACCAAAATATATGTTAACTCTGACCGTAAGATTACCTCGATTGTTGTACACTTGTCAGGTGTTATAATAAGTGAATTAGTAATTATCTCGAAGCCAAGCACTCACAAAAACACGACTAGATCCTATTTGAACAGAAAATTAATCCGAATATTATGAAGTTAAAAGTTGCATGAAAAATACAATATAAAAACACTAAAATAGCGATTGAATGAACCCGATAGGTGCGTGGTATTTATATAAATAACTTATTACTACGTATTTAAAAATATAAATAAAATTACATTTTCATACTAGATTCTAGTWATTAGCATTGAACACTTTGAAATATAGTGTTTAATAATATTTATTTACATACACGATTTCATATGGTGAAATACAAATACAGCGTTGCCGTAACGAAAAACATATGTGTATCAACAAAGATATTATCGTAATGTATGATATAAAACGTAAGATATTTTGAGCAATCAACCATTCCAACGGTATACAAAAAAAAAGCTTGCCAAATCGTGGACGGCATGTAGTAGGTACACCGTACACGTGCTTTCTTGATTTATAATTCTATGTAAGAAATGTTTTATGTATAAGTACATTTTAGTGGTGTGTTTCTGAAATTTTAACCTTTTTTAATACCTACTTTATAGTTGCACTATTTTTATGAAATCATTTTGTACTTTTTAGCATTCAAAAAATTGTACACGAATCTTTTCCCTTAGTAAATAAATTCTTATCTACTAAGAATCTAGCTAAAATTTATCATTATTTTAACGATTAAATAGATAAATAACTTTTCCCAATTTTCAAATTTCACATTTTACATCTAGGCTAACAAGCCTTCTTTTATTGAGTTATCAACCAATTTTAAAATTAAATTACCTACCCATTATTATTGAGTAACATTTTTACTATTTTATTACTTACCACAAACTTTAAAATCTTAAAACTCAGATTTTTTCCATCCAATTATTCTTAATAACAATACTYATTTATTATACCATATACTTTCGTTTTCGAATTTTTTTAACAATTAAATACTTAAATTACACTCTTGTGATATATTCAAAATTTATACAAAGGTATTTTAATAACATGATTAAATAAATATGGCATTATGGCAACGTTGCATCTTAAATCATGCGAAATCATGCGAAATCATGTATAAATAAATGTAATTTTCGGAATCGTGTAAGGTGTAACTTTATAAATAGTTATTAAAATCCACACGGTTCTGAAAATGTACGATGTCATTTTCTACATCGTTTTTGGAAGGTATAATGCGGGAAGCGGGAATCTCCAAATCGTGTTGCCTTATCGTGGCGGCGTTCTTTAGTCTGAATAAAGTGTTCGATGACAATTCTTAAAAATACATCCAATTATTGGATCTGGTCTATACGATAATATTATCATGACAGATGTATTGAATTACCTCTAATAGTCCGGTGTAGGTACGTCGTACGAATTACATTACATTGCTATATACAGTTTATGTGGAAAAAATTAAATGCTGTCCTCTGTTCACGCATCAATTTTTTMCCGCCCTTTAATTGGCGGTAATAAAACGTAGTTAAAAATAATGTTGACTCTTCCTAAATTGTACTCTAGATATCGTCAGTGCCCAGTRGAGAAAGTAGAATTAAAAAAATATAAGAGTTTCATGTTAGTATGTAATTTTCGCGAACAACGTCGATAATAAACATCGAAAAAAGTATAGGGAAACCTCCGTGTTTTCCCAGTTTTAAGGTTTGGTTAATGGTTTAGGATTTTTAAAGCGTTTTCGTAGTCTATAAGTACGTAWTTTGTTCCTTAAAGTCATTTCAGATCATATTATAACTCACATACGACAGGATTATCAAAATGTATAGGACTTTATATAGAAGACAATTTTAGCATATAATATTTCGCAAGTACTGCAAACATTTCCGTGGCGTCGGTTCAAACACGAAATAAGTATATTCTGTACATTTATTTAATTAGAATATTTTTAGGTAAGTACAAATGTAATCATCGTTTTTCTAAACATTTTTTTATGCTGAATGTTATTTGTGTGTAACTTTTTAATATTGTATAGGTTATTATTCTTAAATTTGGAATAAAAATATGTTTTTTGCGTGTCATTCATGATTTTTACAGATATTCGTCGTAATCATAATATAAGTAAAATACTAAAATGTATTGTTTCTATCACTCCCATTCGTGGGGACACTATTAAATATTAATATATAATAATATGTATGTTATAAATGTATAGCACAGTACTTTGAATGAATATAAATTATTAAGCAATTCCGTATTTTAAATCATATTTAATTGTTTTAAGGGCGCATATAATATAGATATTTTTAAGACATATTTGCATTTATTTTTTTGTTTGTGTTTTTAAGTTAATAAACATMATAAAAACCCTAAGGTTAACACGGTAAAACAGGAAATATGATGGCCGCCTTATTGGAATCTTATATAAAAATAATATCAATATATGTAATTTGGTTAAATGTATCTACGGCTGTTGGCTATACGTCTGCGTTTCTTCTCATTATTTGTTATRTGGTCCCTTAAATTATTGAATGATAAATAGCCAAGGCTTTCCCTTTTTTTTAAATTATTTAAAAAACACTAATACAAATCACAAAAAAATAGTAATAATAATAAAAAAAATTGAACGTATTCAGGCCGCATTAACCCAGATGGTAAATGAGCGTTTCTTGAGACGGAAAAAAAATTAAGCCACCTATCTGAAAAATAAAATGTTACAATGATTATTTATGAATATTTTCTTTAGTTCAATACCTAAATTTTTTWAAATAATTCATAAGTTTAAATCATTTTAATATTAACTTAGTATTTTTCATTAGTACCTATTTCGTTTACGAGTAATTAGGTGTATTTATGGATACATTAAAAAGTTATACTACTAAACAATTTTTTTAGTTGTGAGTGGTAGGGGAGTAAGCGGCAAAAATTGCTTACTCCATGGCGGCATAGGACCTTAGCCCGACACTGAATATTGAACATATTATGTACACAATATATTATGTTCATATATTTTAGTGTACCTATAATTAATGTGAATATAACACTACATTGTGATGGTTGGTAATTAATATTTTATATTTCTGCATAAATTTTGATTAACTATTAAGTCTAAGGCGGGATAAACTTATCGATAAAATAACTTGTATGACTATGGTTTGTTTTCTAAGTACCTTTCTGGTTACCTACCCCTACATGGTGACAAATTCTATRTAATAAAGAAAATATTATTATCATATCAAATAGACACGGCCACACGGGACACTTTAAGGGATGAGGTCAGGCCATGAAATGAAAATTCTCAAATACAACGGTCGTATAATCAACTTATGACTAAAAGTAATCTTAGAAAAATTAGTAATTATTTATCGATACTACAATTATGCGAGTTTGGAGTCGTTGATAATAATAATATGGTTGATACTAGATAGCACATCTTTAATAGTAAATTTGGGCATTTATATTAATTTGTTTATTTTCTAGTTAAAGYATTCATTATAGTATGATAACTATGATATGATTTAGATTTTTTTAGTTAAATTGAATTATAATTCGTTAAGTATCTTTATAACTTTATTAAAAGAAATAATGAATTATTTTTTGTTTGATCTCACTGTATAGGTATAAGGGTTTAAAATACAAATAACTGTTCTTTTATTTTATCATTTTGTTAACACATGTAATCATCCAAACCACTGCGGTTATGATTTGCCTAATAAATAACCCCGGAAAAAATATCCCCGGAAAAAATAACCCCGAAAAAAAA